AGGCAGGGAGGAGGCCGGGCTCCCGGGGCGCGGGGCGAGGCTGGGGGAGGGGCGCCAACGGCTGGACTCCGTCTCCCGAGTCCGTCTCCCAGGACTTCACACCGCGCGGCGGAGCGCTGCCCGGTGGGGGGTTTTAAGCAGGAAAACAACGCGGAAGGCGGGATCTAGTGGCCCGAAGGCGTGGAGACCCCAGGGGAACGGCCTCAGTTTACCCGGAAACCCCCGCGGACCCTCCACCGGCAGCGAAGAGGCCTGGGATCCGGACGTCTCCCCAGGACGCCGGACTCACCGCTGTAGGGGGCGCGGGTGCGGGGACTTCAACGTCGGTACTGATCCCCAGGCGTCAGGAGTGCAGGACGGTGGACTGAGACGCTCAGAATTAAACCACAAACACTGAAAGTCACGGTCGCCAACCAGGCCTTCTCTCTACCTTGGCCGCTTCCGGGTCTGCAAGAAACTCCGCCCGGTCGCTGCCAGAAAACGTGGGCCGCAGGCGGGGCCTGTGAGGAGCACTTAAGTCCTGGGCAGGGCAGGAATTTTTGTCAGGAGTGGGAGAGGGCCGCCGGAGAAAGGGAGGGGGGGAAGGGGTGGGGCCACAGCTTGGGCGGGGCGGGGCTCTCTGCCTCGCTCTTATTGGTTACAGACTATTGGTGTTCATTACCTTTATTTTAGGTTAGGTCTGATGCACCCACTTTATCTCTCTTAGGTATATATTTAGTGATGTTTAGTAATGCTTTACTCTTGGTTTAATATGTAGCCCAGTTCATTATATTTCAAGATCTCTCCAGTATGAATTTCTGATGATTAGTGAAGATTCATCCTGCATAAAGACCTTCGAAGTTCATTGTATTTGTAAAGCTTTTCTCTAATATGTATAACTTGATATTTGGTTATTAATGAAGAATGGATCAAAACTTTCCCATCTTTATTGTAAATGTCGTATTTGATACTAGCAAGAATTCTTTCCAGGGCTGGCCAAGTGGCGTGTTGGTTAAGAGCTGGCTTGGGACGCCAGCTCTGAGCATCAGGGCCCCGATTCGGATCCCACATGAGGGCCAGTGACACGGCTGCCCTCTACAGCTAAGATGATGAACAACAACTCGACCTGGAGCTGGACTGCCATGAGTTGCCAGAGATGGCATAGGCTGCAGTCCCTGCTGCACTGAGCTGCCATAAGCTACTGTGTGTGGCCAGGAGCCAGCTAGAGCGGCCAGCAGCTGGTGTGAGCTGCCAAGAGCCGCCGTGTGCAGCCGTCCAGAGGCCGGCGACCGATCTGCCTCTGCCGGGAAGAGCGCAATCATAATACCAACATGGGCCAGTAAAGCAAGGTCCTCCACAACTAGACTGAAAAACAAAAAGGACAGCAACTTGTCTGTTCCCCTTCCCCGATTCCCCAGCGCTGTTCTCCTCTCCCAATTCCCCAATAAAATGTTAAAAAAAAAGAGAATGCTTTCCAGTTGTGAAAACTGGAACATTTTAGATAGATTTTGATTGCTTATACTTATAATATGCACCCTGAGTTTTAATCTGTATGATGTACCCTGATAATTAAAAGTTTGATAGAATATTTTCATCAAATCATTTCATGACTTAGTTTCTTGAACATGGTTTAAAAGAAAAAATACTATATTGGGAATAGATTTTAGGGTCTTTTGAAGATAGGTTATGGAGATTATATAGTATTATGGAATATTGTGCCAACCAGCCATGTTGGCATGAAAGAGATTTCAACTTGGACTCCCATGGTCACAAGCAAATAAATTCAGGGCTGGTGGTCTCTTCATCAAACTCAGAATCACTGAAGCAAAGCCTATCATAATACTAAAAGTCAAGAATTCATCTTCTTTATGGGGAGTTTTGGTGCTTGTAAAATTTACAAGGAAGAAAAATGAACATATTCAGAGAA